CACCGATTGGATAAGGATACAGTTTATTCACTTTCCCTGTGTATGGCACATTCACGAGTATCGAGCCAGGTCAGTGCTGAATACACTAGGCACTGCTGTGATGCACTCCGCGCCCATGCTGTATTGCAGCATTTCAAACTCATAGTCCCGCCGACAACACTACCGCTCCTCAGCCATTCGCAAACACTTCACTCCTGCCTCGTGAAGTTGACTGCAACCACCATACGGGAGGTAGACTGAGCCTGCAGTACTCATTCAAGGAGCGGTCCAACTCAGCGAGACGTTCGAAAGACAACACTGGCTTGCTCAAGGCCCCTTAGCAGAAGATCACAAAAGAACTCAACCCGAAGCCCATGGGCTACTCAGAGCGCCTCATCTTTCGTCATCAATCTCAAGAGTGATGATGCCTATCCCCTTTACCTCAACCTTAGCTATAGTAGGCCAGAGTCGGGGAACGCAGAGGAGGAGAAGATCTACGCGGAAAACAATTACCCGAATTTCAACACCAAGCTCAACACTGCTTTCCTCCACCGTTACAGAGCACAGCGTTGCATGATCGATGATTCAAACCCTGGCTCGGTCGAGGTCCTTCCAAACGTGTCTTGCCCAAGAGCCCGAGGACGGTCATCGCCTAGACGGTTATGACCTCCTTGGGCCCAACACCGGTCGAGATCATAGAGGGGTATTCAAGTTCGGCCTCCTCTACCAATCATGAGCACAGATTATAAGGGAGTAACGGGGGAGCTACTGTAGGAAAAGACAATGACCATCTCGCTGCTGAAAATTCAAAACGTGAATCGCTTCGCTCCGTCACGTCACGTCACGCACATCATCGAGGTTTCTGTCCCTTTCTAGACGAATGTCGTAGTGGATAAGTGGGCATCGTGGACGTTCGAACGCAAACTCAATGAGCGGAGCGAAGTGAGAACTGGTCCATGAAATGGACCAGTCTCCCCTCCAGTCTCACTTGCCATGCTGACTTGCGGTCAACTGAACAGGATGAACCCAAGCCTCACTTGAATACCCGAAACACGATGATCAATCATCACACAGCATGATAAGCTGCCGAGCTCTCGCTCCGCAATGTAAACGGCTCTATCAACTCAAAGGCATTTCTTCTCATTTCTTCTCCTTCGTTGCTGCTGCCGCCAAGCCTTCATAAAAGCTGCGCTTGTTCGGTGTAACCTCTCCAGCATCTAATACGACAACACCGTATCCCCTTCAACACGCTCGAGACACGCATACCGTCAACGGACACCGAGGGCTCGTGGACCTTCGTCTTGGGCACATCCAAGACCGTAAGCTTGTTCTGAGGTAGGTAATCTCGATCTATCGTCCGCCTCGCATACGCGCTGTTTTTCTCATACACCTAAACCCACAAAAATCAACCAATTCACAAAAGACGACGTTGATCACGTAAAGAGCGTACTTTTTTCTCAGGCGAATTCGTCAAATCAGCATTTCACACTAACTAGTTAGTGTTTCAGGCTGAAACTCCAACGAGGCTCGAAAGACGAGGTTGCTCACGTAACTTACATCATAAAACTTCTCAGGATCAGGAGGCTCCTCCACTCCTTTTAGTTTCTCCCACCTTTCCAATATCGGGTTATAATATCTGAGGGACCCCAGTCCCTCACCAGAACGCCCCTTCCCTGCTACTTACGCCCGAGTAAGGGGTACAGATTTATCATCAAAGCCAGGGTCATTTCGAGATGGCTCCGACGGTCGCTCGCCAGGCCCGAACTCGGGGGCTAGGATGCACCCGATCCAACTGAAATATATCACTGGTAAGCACCGAAGCCGACCCCCTCCCAACTCACACGACAACCGGCACAGCGATGAGCAGCTTGATCATCATCGACAGCGGCATCTCGTCCTGCGGCACATCATTCCTTTCCCCCTTGGCGTATCTATCAAAAACTCCTCGTAGAACATGCTGCTGGGGAGGGGAGGGGAGGGCGACCGACCTTCTATAACGTTCTCGTCGTGCATTCCGCTGCTCCGGCGTTTCCTTGTTATAATGTTCCTTCCAGTCCTCGCCCTTCGCCTGAGGAAGAGCTGTCGGCCACACCAGTCGGTACACAACTATTCATCCCAGGGATTTTTGTGGCGCGCGCTATTGCTCGGTCAGATAACGCTTTATCATTTGCAAGGCTCTATCCACAAGTTGGTACTATGTGGCATTTCATCGAACCATCAATTCGAACGAGTCGATACCCGTCGACTCCACCAAAGGCCTCTTTCTCACTTGACTGTCGAGGGCCGCTCCAAACTGCATATCCTGGTCGTAGATAGTCCTCTTCCACTGATTTCCCAAAGTAGCATATGCCTCGCATACCTACACACACGCCCCAGCCTATCACTCACCGCCACAGTAGGATATGACCAACCTCCTTGAACCTGTCCCCAGCCAGAGGGTCATCCGGGTTCCGGTCTGGATGCCATTTCTTAGCCATATCACGATAAGCCTGCTTTATCTCCTCTCCTGTTGCCTTCTGCTCTATACCCAGGACCTATCCACACAGACTCCATCCAATATGAGTCACCCTGCCACTATCATCACCTCATACAAGTTCTTCTTTCCACCACGAGAGGAGCTACTGTTCGCGAAACTCCGTATTCGAGATACACCGAGTAGCCGGCCTGGTCGCATGGGAGAGACTGAAGTCCGCCGCAGAGATAATGACGCAATTGAAGGAATCATCTATAGTAAACCTGTGTGTTCACGACTCACCCCCGTAAGCTGACAATCCTTCTCCTATGAAAGTAAGACCGATCCGATAACACTCGAGTGCAGTATGGGAAGTATGCACCCGATCAGCTACGTGTGTTGATGACAATGAGAAAATTCCGAGGGAACCATCACTAGTTTTCGTACACTTCTACCCAAAATCTTGTGTAAACTCTCATGATGTCGCGAGAAAACCACTGAGTTCAGCTGAGGAAACCAAACATATATTCCAACATTGTGTGAATGACACTGAACTCGACAACCCCACCTCTGCATAAAAATCTGAAACGATTATTAGACTACGTTGCGGACAAGCTCGTTCGAGCTCCCTCTACTTCGGAAAATGCCTTCTCTCGATTCAACCTGTTCATGATCTACAACACTACTCACACCCCAACGTGACCTCATCACATCGCGTGTCACCAAGACGGCTGGTTGCCTATTATAGCCAACTCCTGGATCCGCCACGGGTGCTCTAAATTCTGAACAAGGCACCATCTCGTCGTTTTCAATGACTCGGCGAGCTCGGAAATGCATTTACGGTATGAAATTTCCAAATAATCGTTTCGATCAAGACCTTCCATGACACTGGGCATCGCTTCGTAGCGCGTCCAACACCGGTGTCAAGCGAGGCTCCACTCACATCCCTGCATATATGATAGCGATTCCCGTCTTACCCCCGACTCGGGCTCCGGATGCTTCTGAATCGCCATAGCATAAAATACACGTCTGATGTCATCAACTGCTCCCTCCACCACCTCCCCTGACATGCAGACTCACAAGAACGGCCTCGGTTCAGTATAGCCCTTACCGAACTCATTTCGGAGACAGTTGATTTGCTGCGTTGAAAAGGTAAAAATGAAACACGGCGAGTCGACCTCTGAGGCCGTCTTCGCCCCCTTCAACTCCACATCCATGGGAGGCTAACAGAACATAAGGTCGGACACTAGAGGACGACTAACCTGTAAAATGTTCGTATCCAACGTCAACTTCTGCGTATGCCGTGCCTTCACAGAAGCGTTCACAGCGGCAAAGGCCGCCTCCCCACAGTGGGCTTCGAGTCGCTCCACATCACCCTGAACGATTTTCTAATTATGTCATACCACGCCATTTCCACATCTTCAAAGAGAGTTACTGCACAACCCCCCATCACCTCGAGATACCATCGGATGATCCTGGGAGCCACGACATGCTCGATGTCCTCGGCCATCTGCGACAAGCGGAAGTTGGGATCGACCTCCTTCATCTCCCGTATCGACTGGGCAATCTCCGTCTCGCCAAATATCCTATCAGAAAAGTAACCTCTCACCCGCACCCAAATCAACCCACCGGTCGACCATAGGGTTCTCGAAGAACCCTCCGAGAAACCTCGAATCCTCACTGGAGGTAAACCCAAAACGTTCCCAAGTCGACCGAGCCCTCTCCGAAACCACCAACGCTGAGCCGTGCGGATTCTCCGGCAACGGTTCCGCCTACAACAGACCATCCCACTCCGATGTGCTGGGCGAGCGAAAATACCGCGGGGTCTTCCGCCACCTTTTCTCGCATTTTCTGCTCTTTCTCCAAATCACGCATGGCCTAACACCGACAATTACAGTTGGAACCCAAACGGGACTTTTACCTACCGCCTGAGCCCTCTGAAATTGCTTCAGCCGTTCCTGCACGCCCTCGGAGCTCTCCTTATCCATCATCTTCGTAAACCCACTCGCCTTGTCCACCAGCTGAGGTCCACAACCACCTCTTCCACATCGACCCCCTACCCTCCCCTACCCCCGACGTAGCCTCCCGAGCCTTGGCGCTCACAACGTGCAGCTGATCCAATACCGGTTTCATCCACTCGGGCGTACCTCCCATACCACCCATCCGTCCACTCCGTAAAAGCCACCAACTTACGCTTAGTTGTCTGCCCCGCCTCAGCTGCCGTCCCTCCTGTCTCCGGCATATGTCTTCTTAATTCCTCATAAAGGCTCTTCGTCCGATCCCTGAGCCCCCTCATCATAATCCTGCGCAGAACCCTACCCCCTCTCCCTTACTTCGCGCTCTGCATCTTCTCTCGCATCGCCGCCAACTTCGCCTCCTGTGCCTCCGCCCGAGCCCGCAGCTGCTCGTTCGTTTCCGTTACCTATTCACCACCGCCCCATCCAGTGTTGGAGAAATATATACTTCCTCACTAATTATAAGAGTTTATATGTGAATTCGGGTAGAAATGCTCAGACACTAATAGGAGTTCCCGGAAATTTCCTTAAAATTTTCGTATTGCCTCCAACACATGTTCTTCCACATATCCAATTCGCCTGTTACCTTCGAGGCCGTCTTCTCCACCTCTTCGAACGCCTTCTTCAGCTTGGGATCATTCTCAGCCTCTCGCCGTACTTGATCCATAACCTGTTCATACACAGTCACACCATAGACGATCCTTCACACTACCAACCTGTCTTATGAACGATGAGCTCTGCCGCCGTTGCCATGCAGCTCTACCCAGGCTCCCAACTCGCCAGCTCCTACCCACCGACGCCACGTGTTGAGAAAAAGGTTGCATTCTCCCTGCATTAAAAATTCGTACTTAATCAACACAACCACCACTGGCAAGATGTGACTCAAAGTATTGAAAATGTGAGAGACTCTTCTGTGTGAGCCTGCGATGAGAACATTCTCTACTTCTTGATAAAAAAACTAAGTCGACTCCGGACCAGGAAAACCGACTCAAACCTGAGGTCAGCGCTACCCAAAGCCCTGACATCGACCGGGCCCATCCTACCTCCACCAAATCGACAAAGGCATCCAAGTCGTCGATCTCATCCAGAGTCGCCGTGGACGGGATCGGGCGAACAACCACGAGCTTCGTGCCTACCATCGACGGCTCCAACGCGGCGCCTTGGTTCATCAATTCGACACTACCCGAGGCGGCAAGCCCTGTTTCCTTGCAGAAGTCCTTCACGTTCTGAATCACGGCTTCTGCGGACTGGTAACTGGCGAGGGAGGAGGAGCATGGGACGAAGGTAGACGAGCCTCCTATCACCTGGAGGTCTGTAAGGGCTCCACGCCCCACAGAGTAGTGAAAAAGTTTACTACCGCCTCAGAAGCAGACATGGCCAGAATCTAACCAATGAGAGAGTGCGGGGATTCTCTCTATACGTCGAATCACCTTGCAGTACGGCCTCATCCTCGACAGCATCGCCGCTGATGTACCATCATCTGAGAATGCCTGAGCGAGATCGTGCTCACCAAGGAGAGCCTCATGACCAAGTGCCAGGATGGTTACCACTATCAGCTTGGCGTCATTGGAGGGGTCCTTCTGCAGTGCGATGGCTCTCTCCACCACCGCCGCCACCACTGAGTCCGATCTAGTAGGGCACGAAAAGGAAACGTCCACTGCTGAGACCTGAATAGATAACAAAAACAGAACCCCTCTAGAAGGGCAGCTGCGAGCCGAGCCCTACCTGATCCTCTAGGGTATGGACGGTCGCGGCAGCATGCGATGCTTGGTCGCTATCGAGCTGAAGAGAATGACGACACTACGAGGAGTTTAGGTGAGGAGAGTACTCACCAGTGCCGTATCGCTTTGGACCGATACTGCCGCCATAAGGTTACCAACGGGAGCAGCAGTGCAGTCTGTGATCACCTATGCAAGGGGAGCAGTACACAGCAGTGAGGAGCTCAATTCAAAGGCTAAGGCGACTATGCTATCGAGGATGAATACGACAGTATCACACCACGGGTCGTTCGATGCCGCAATCGAGCCCTTGCATAAAGCCATGGTAATGAGACATAAATAGTATAATATCTATTAGTATATCTATTAATAAATCGATTACTATTAATTAGAAGCAATATCTATTAATAGTATAATATGCTGAGTACTTGTCTACAGACTATGCTATAAATACATACTACGGGCTACTCGATAGGTATATTAGCGTACGAAAGGATATGATATTTGCCATAATAGATGTATACACTATAATGGTCAATTCAATCAAATACGATGTAATGGGATGAAACTGGATGTGAAAATATTGAGAATCGACAGGATAAAATGTAAACAATATGGGTGGGTTTAATAGTGAGATCTAAATAGACTGGATCATTCTGAGCGTATTGGTGCTTACCAATTTCCCAGCCAGGTTGGCAAAGGCGCAGATGCTCCTAAAGTTGACGGTCAGTGGCGGAACGACCTGACCTCGTAAACACATTGGGGTGATTGAGAGACGGCCAAGAGTCTTACGATTCCATCCACAGTAGGGAGGAAGTCGTCAATGTTCTTCGTAGAGGTAGTATGTACCTAAGACGCCCTCAGCAGAGTGAGGAAGGGCTGCCCTCTTACGAATATCTTGATCCTTCTGCCCCTCATGCCCAAGGCTGAGCTGCGGAAGGCCGTCACTTCAGCACCAGTGCGGACCGGAGGGATAATGACCGAGCCAATACCGCGTGGTATGGCAACTTTAGAGATGCACAACTTCGCCAGCTCGTTGTTTGCCACAGAAAGGGCGAGGGAAAAGGGGCGACTCATTCCACTGCCCTTTCCAGCAGTTCCTAGGGAGAGCTTCTTCCGAGAGGATCAAGATGGGCTTACTGATCATCTGTACGCATGTGTTGAGCTTGTCGACCAAGGCTTGAGGGTTGACTGGAAAGAGCACAAGAATGGCACCGAACGAGAGGACGCCAAGGGGCTACCTCCATCAGTGAAAACACCCTTAGTGATGTCCAGGACGATGACAGAGGCACCGCCGCTCAGCAACTTGGCAAAATACCTGAGATCAGCGGACACCGTGGAAAGTGGGCAAGGGATGGTAGTGTATACTCCTCCGTGGGGGCATCTTCCTGCATGAGGGCCGCGATATTCACTGCGGCCCCGACCTTCATGTAAGGCACTGAAAAGGGAAGGACTGAGGAAGGCTCCTCGACTGACTTGCCGCTTACTGTCCCTGCCCACCAGCCTTGGGGTTGGGAGGCTCTCGAAACAGACCTCAGCGGCAGCCTGAAGTAGCAACAACAGCATGGGAGGGGCGATGGTGACACCTTGAGCCGCTTACCTGGTCCATAGCGTGGACTCTCTTATCGGCAATAGTGACCATAGATAGGATCTTCTCTTCTACCTTGGCGTCGACAGGCATCTATCTGTGGTGACTTGGGAAAATAAAAAGGGTCTACCCAGAGATTTGGACGAGATATCTGCTGAATCTTGCTCCTCCGCTTGCGAGTCGGCGCATGATAATTTCGTGGCGCGCGACAAAGCGCCGACTTGCGTGCCACTTGGTAGATTCTGTGATGTGGGCATCTCCCGTGGGTTGGAGGTGTGAGCGAATGATTATCGCGATTAGCGATATCCATGATCGGGTATGCGACCTGGGAATCTCCGTTCTGGTGGACTATAATCGGGCCTATTTTGAATCTTTTCGGCTGGAACCTAAGATTCTCTCGCATCTGGGACCTCACTCTGAAGATTTCATCGCGTTAAGTTGTCCTCTCTTGCCTTATCTAAATGGCATTCGAGAATTTCGCACCGACTTTGGCTCGTATCTTCCACTCACTGCAGACGTGGCTAATGCCATTCAAGCTGCCTCTAAATGAAGACGTCCACATGCTGGGTAAGACCAGCCCTCCCCTGTGCTGATGAGCTCCTTCCTCGCTCAGGTCGGACTTATCCCCCACCCGTCGTAGACGCCAAATGCAGCACCGCTCCGCCGCCCGAGGACAGCCCGTTGTATCGTGCTTATGTGGACATTATTCTTTTCACTTACCGTTGTGCGTTCGAGCCCATCGAGGGCTGTGTCGGGCCCACCAGTGTCAGCGATAAAGGATGGGGCTGTGCGGTAAGGCGAAGACAAGTACTCTGCAGCGAAGTCAACTGTCCGCAGATTCGCGCTACTCAAATGCTGTTGGCCCAAGCTGTTAAAATGGCTGGAAAAGGTGAGGCAGGATGCTTATTCTCCAGTGACATTATTCTGCAGATGCTGACGATAGCGTCGTGTTAAGCCTCTTTCTAGACAGCCCCCAGGCGCCTCTGTCGTTGCATCGTATGGTCAAGATGGGCCAGGAGGTCCTAGCTAAACGTCCTGGCACGTGGTTTGGCCCCACTAGTGGGGGCATGGTAAGCCACCCTTTCTGCAAAGCTATTATATGCCGATATTAGGTGGCGTCGAGACTCGTTAAGGCGGCACATGAGGAGGACGAGGCTGCTCGTAGGGCCGCCAGAGTGCCCTTCCAATGTGTTGCCTTCGACGATGGTGTTCTCTATAAGGACCAAGTCGAGCCCCTGCTGCTGGAGGAGCAAGGCTCACTACCAGTGCTTGTTCTCCTCTGTGTTCGACTGGTAAATGCCTCTACTAAGTGCCCATTGGAAGGCCCCTTAGGGTCAAGACTCCACTATCCCAGAGAGCCACATACCTCTGATATTGGCATGTTTCCGAAGACCCGGGTTCGTAGGACTCAGCAGTGGGGAGTCGACCACCAGTGCGCTCTATTTTGTCGCTGCCTGGAAGGGAGGGGTAGCGGCTCCTGTGACGGCTTTCCACTGAGTCCGCCTTTCAGCTCTACTATCTCGACCCGCACTTAGCGACCCAACCGGCTTTGACAGATGCCAAGCGCATACAGGAGGGAACTTTTATACATCAGCTGAAGCCTCATAGTGTAGCAAACACTCCCACAAGGCGAGAGGACTTCTTGGTACTTCCTCGCTCAGCTTGGATGGTCTCGTCTGAACTCGTCGATGTGCTTTGGATTCATGTTGCGGAATAGAGCTGAATTAGACGACTTCACAACATGGATACGGCAGGGCAACGGTCTCGATGAGGAGGAGCTCACGAGTGGCTCGGAGCGATGGCTCTTCGAAGTGCGTCAGGACGGACTGCCACCAAGCCTGACCGTCCTCGACAGGTACTAGACAAAACCCCAGCATATGCCAGGCCGGGAGGAGGAGGAGATGCTGAGGACTTTTCGGATGTGAGTTTGAGCACAACTATAGGTGGGCTATGGGTGGACGATCTTGGTCAGCCTTTGGACTACTCTGATGGGGAGGATGATGATGATGATGATGCTCTAATGTGAATCCGATGTGCATTCCTTATACCATGATATTGTTCACACTATTAGATGCTCTACAACTTGCAACATAGTTATTTGACCTGCGCTGGGCACTCTTGCTTTTAGGGGTCGGTTTTGGCCAATACTCGCTCGTGGGGTAGTCGTTGTCATTCCATATGGCACTCCTATTGCCTCCTCCACCGACTGCTACTGCAGCAACAGCAGCTGTACTTATGCCTGTCTGCTGTGAGCTTATTGGCGCTGCTAAGTCGGCTATAGAGATGGACCGTATGGCCGATTGGTCTCTGCTGGACCTGCCTGAAGGGGTCCTCATCAATGTGCTGGGGGTGCTATCAGCCAACGATTTGGCTAAATTCGAGGCGACCTGTAAGGAGGCTCGGCGGAAGTGTCGGTCGCTGAACATCTGGCGTGAACTTGGCAGTCGTGTCTTCGGTGGTCAACTACAGAGTGGCGAGTCGTTCCAGGGTGGGCAGCTGGGGAGTACGGGGAAGCGAATTAATATGGACTGGAAGAGTCGGTATAAGCTCTTCCATGCTTGTTCGAGGACCTTCAGAGACACCGACCGCTCTGCTATGACGTTTGTCGATGAAAAAGATTATGTGGCTTATCTTTCCGCTCGAATTAAGGTCGAGCATTTGAAAAGATGCGGCGGGAGTGGTATCTACTTAGAATTCCATGTTCAGAAGAACGCTGATAATTTAAGTCTGGCTTGTGTCGATTTCGATGCGGGCGGCAAGAGTAGTGTGACTTTCTCACCCGATACGGGTGCAGTGATAAAAGAATCCAAAATACAGGAGAATCCGAGGAAGATTCAGGGCTTCTATAGGCAGCCTATGGCGCAAATACAACAGCTCCAACCGAAAAGCAGCTCACTAGTGCTCTCGCGCTTCGAAGGGTTCATGGGGATGCTACTTGACAATAATGGGCTCACGTTCTATCGTCGACTCGCCGGCCTCCCTTGGGAATGTACCGGTGTTGTGACGGACCTGTCTTGGGTCCAGGGTGATTATGTTACCCCTTGTATAGCTTTCCGCGATAATGGTATCTATCATGTTATTATCAGAAGACTGGGTGTCTATAGCCCACCTAAAGCACCTGAGACATGCTTACTAGAGCCCCCTAGGATGCGTGGGGACGGCTGGCGTCCACTCGATTGGGAACCGTCTGACGACTGGGAGTACCTTTCTGACGCTTCTGATGATGGTGATGAGGAGGAGGTGTAAGGTCGAAGTACTTTGCAAGGAAACCATTCGAATTAATTAACTGTTTGTTTTTTGATTATCTGCTCATAGCTGACCGTCATTTGTCTGTCGACGACGATGACGACGACATTGCTATCGTAGATAGGCGTTGCGCCACTCGCAGTTCATGTGAAGGCAAAAGTGAGTTGGAAGTAGATTGCTGGGTTACTCCTTTTCGATGAGGTTACTCTGACTGTGTATAACTGGTGACAGCTAGCGGCTCTTTGGTATCATCATAAGGAATATCTTTTCAAGTGTATCGTCATCGTCATCATCATCGTATTATCGTTATTAGCATTGTCGTGTTTGGTTACGAGTCGGAAGCGGACCGAAATCGATCATCTGGGCGCGCGCTTTTGCCCAAGCGCAAAATCGGTTAGCAGTGTAAGTATCTCAACGTTTGAACCTCCAATGACGGACGTTGCAAAGGGTATGTCTGCTCGACTTCTCGATCCATCGGTGGTGAATGGTCCGTCAATGGAATATTCCTCGTCGGTTAGCTCTGTGCCGTACCGTCAGGGCCTCGTACAGCGGTCCTTCGCTCCGCTAACTCCGGGGGGTATCAGGCAGTCGACGTTTACACTCATCTCAACGGCTATGGGTGGTGGGGTATTGTGTTTGCCATACGTCATGAAACAAGTGAGAAACTTGAGGGTTCATTTATTGTCGGCATAGTTCTTCCATTTCAGGTCGGCCTCATCAATGGAGTACTTCTATTGAGTATATCATCGCTTATCGCTTTCGTCACGATGTACATCCTCATTATGTGTGCTGTTAAAGCGAACAAGCATTCATACGGTTCTCTCCTAGGCTACTGTGCAGGGAAGTGGGTGGCACCAGTGTTGGACATCATACTCTTAATCTACGGTATGGGAGCGGTCATTGCGTACTTCATATTACTTGGTGACTTCCTGCCAGCCCTGTTCCAGCTGGTCGGTGTCACTGTAGCCAGTCGCACGATCTGCATGATAGGGGTGGCAGCGTTTGCAGTACCGCTAGTGCTTCCTCGTCGTTTGTCGGCTCTCCAATACGTCTCTCCAGTGGCGACATTCTCCCTGATCCTCACGGCTGTCATCACTATGGTCAAAGCTCATCGTGAGTCCGTCATCCTCCCACCCGACGCTCCGGTGGACTTGCTTATTTTTGGATGGCCACTGCTGAAGGCGTTCACCATCACATTATTCGCTTATATCTGCCACATGAATGTCGTTCCTGTCGCTAGTGAGCTCGTCGAGCCGACTCCGGCCAGAGTCCTCAAGGTGACCTCTAGAGTGGCATTTGTCCAACTGTCTTTCTACATCGTCATCGGTGTTGCTGGATACATCAGTTTTTCTCATTTTACTCGTCAGAATTACATCACCAACTATCCGTCAGGTGACGTTCTCATTAGCTTATGTCGTCTATCGCTCTCGTGTAGTCTTCTTTTTTCCATACCGATAAACACCAATCCGACTGCCAAAGCTGCAGTACATTTTTTTAAATCAATTCGAGAACTCATGGCCGACTCGAGAGGTGACCGCCTCCTCCCCGCTAGGAGGCGTGTGCTTTCCTCTGTCACCGAGGAGAATGCCAGTGAAAGAGCACTGCGAATATTCTTCAGCTTCCTGGTCCTTGCTGTTACCTTGATCGTTGGTATTCTGGTACCAGGCGTGGCTGATGTGGTTTCCCTATTGGGAGGTTCCCTCGGCACCATCATCATGATCGTTTGTCCCCTATATATCTTCGTAACAATCATGAAGGCAGAATCGAAGACAGTTTTGGGCCGAGTTGTGGTATGGTCTCTAGTCGTTGCTGGAGTCGTGGCATTAACAGCAGTTGGTTTGATGGTCACCAACACTATGAAGATCACCCATCTGCCCTTAGCTGTGAACTAGAGGAACAGCTTCTGAGGAAGCTTCCTGAGCTAAGCTCTGTCGTAACCTGACTGTCTGTCATTAGTTCTTCTCATCAACGTGTAATTCCACCCCACGGTCAATGGTATCGGCGGTGGCCCTAGAAGGACGCGTCTCTCAGGTAGAGAGTTGACCAGGGGCATTCGACGTAGATATTCTTGGTTGTACCATTCCATTGAACTCCGTGTTGGGAGTAGGCACAGGCCTCTTAGGATTTCCAGACAATCCTCGTGCTACTTGTGTTACGGTGCCTCCTAGTTGGATGGGGTCTTCAGTGGGGCTTTGATTGTTTATCGTGCTACATATCATCGTCTGAAGAAACTCGTCCATTGTCTACGCCTTGGCTCGGCCGCTACTGTGTTTCGGACAGTCGCTGCCCAGTAGTCTTCTTGAAAAGGAGAAACCTCCTTGGACGCTCAGCGACGTCAGTGAGTTATTGATAGGTAGAGACGTTTTCTGCGACCTTAACGTCATGGAACATGGCTCTCCACCGCTTAATCTTCCTTGTTCGGGCCCGTAGCGTCAATTGGCTCGTCGTGTGTAAGTTTTTTTCGGTCAAATCTCTACTACATACGTATGATATGGGCGGCTTTGGGTCAGCACGGCAGCCGCCACTTCTCTGGCTGTGACCCCAGTTGGCGACACCAGCCCCTCAGAGGGGCGGTCCTTCACACAGCCGTGCCTTGTCAGCCGTCGCGACTCGTTCATCATCAGCACTGATTTCAGGAGCTCATGGCACGTTTCGAAAGCTCGTCGAGATACCGCTTGTGGATTGGTGCCGGCTTGGTCCGGGCATATCCGGAAACTTGAGCCCTACAAACTTCGGATTGTGTGAGAACATCTCCTTCCGTTATGTTGTCAGTAGCCTCAGCACCTGTGTTAAAATTCTTCCCTGGGATTCGCAGACGTGCCCGACGCGCACCTGTTGAGTGATGAACTGCTGATCAATCCTGCTTTCCCCCGGGAAAAGCAGTTGGTGGACGAGTTTCCCTCATAACGTTTTGTCGTCGCTCTAACTTATGACGCTGTTGGATGCGAGCCTGATCGTTATGTGACGTATCAACGGAATACGAGTGTGATTCAGATTCCTTCTTGAGAAGAGTCGGTGGCCGGAATAAAGGTTCTACCGGGATTTGAACCCAGATCGCCAGATTCAGAGTCTGGAGTGCTAACCGTTACACCATAGAACCTCATGTCAAATTTAATTTTGTGCCGTCGTCAGCGAAGTGCTCGCCGCCTGAAAGCCTCCTAAGCTGCACAATATTACAGCATGCGCAGTATCCCAACTTCTCGCGACGTCACCTTCACAACTTCATCGTTCTTCGGCTCTGAATTTCTCTATCGCGACAACAACCAGCACCAGAGAGAAATGGACATTCCTGATCAACAGTCTACCAGTACCAATATCGACAGTTGCCAGGCAACTGTCCTCCTGGCAACTGGAAGGTGTGGGAGAAAAGGGGGTGCCTGCCCACATATGTGAGCAAGGGAGTTCAGACGAACAAGGACGACTGGAGCTTATCCTAAGTTGACTCGACGAAGCGTGCCTAAGTTGACTCCCAACTGAAGCTTATCCAAGGCGCAGAAACGCCTGTTTCAAGCCTTGAAAAATGCGTTTCTGAAATTCAAGGGCATAGCCAATGGCTTGAGGGCAAAGATAAATGCAGGACTGCATGCACGCATGCTCCGCGCATGCGTGCGATTGCCGGCCCGGCACTGCGGGTTGTCCAACAGCTTGGCATCACCCTCAGATTATTCTATAACACTTTTACGACCATTGGGGGTCGATAAGAGCATATGAAAGTTTCGTAAACTCAGCTTATGCCCGTAGGTAATGTACGGCAGGTTTCGCTTGGATATATTTCATTGTGGATACTATTCACTTGACTTGGTAATTTGGGGGGGGGGGGGCGATCACCCAAGACAGGCTCTCATGCTTGGCCCGCTATACTATAGCAGCTATAGTTTCAGTTATTTGGTAACTGTTATCGAATGGCAACTATGAGCGCACCATTCGAAACATTGGAATGTCTGTACTGCTCATACAAATCCAAAAAAGACAATTTCTGTCTGTACGACCAATTCAATCGTCATCATCCCGGAAAGGCTACACATCCGAGAAAGGTCAAAGTTCTCTGCTGTCCTTCCCCCTAGCCGATGTCTATTTCCCTGTGGCCGATGCAGTCTTGTGTACTTTCAGTGGCGACAATTGTTGTGTATGCACATTGAAGTAATGTGAGGCCCTATCGAGCCACCCGAGGGTAGCGGTCGTGTCGCTGCTACTGAGCATACCACGTTGATCCCTCCTCCTGCCCAGACGAACCAATGCCACCACGACGAGACAGAGTTCCAACGCTGCTGTCGCCGATGGATTCCGCTATCCTTTCCAGAATACATCTTCTCTCCGCAAAAGGTCAACAGCGAAGCTATAATCTCGCTCGCCCAAAAAGGAATTCACAGAGAAACTACTACCATGGAGTCAAAAGAAACCAGTGGATTAATATACAAGAGCTATGAATCGGCCTCATTATCATGTTAGCACTGCAATAGATCAAACAAGTCTTCCTGGACAACGACCTTTACATCAGTATCTTACTATCTTCCCCCTTCCTCTATGATGTGTTAGTGTACATCTTGATAATCACTGGGAAAAGGTGATACCACAACTATAACATGCCGATGCGTCTACAGAGATAAATCTACTTTACATTATAGTCAGCCCTAAAGCAAGGGACTCTGACGACCGTGAAGTCGGTCAAGCCGTACCTTACCACAGCAATCGAGCAGCGCTTGCCACTCCTTTCCTCCTTGGCAAGGATTGGGCATAAAGGCTCTATTGAGAGGCTACTACTAGCAAGGGCTGTCCATTGAGCTGAAATGTGTAAGATGATGAGAATTCGCGCACGCCATATTGATCGATAATCGTTGAGAGGGTCGATGTTACTCCATTGTGTTGACTCAAACGCGGCACATATGGGCGAACCGATTCAAAAGCTACGAAGTCTGGTGAAGCCAATGATGATGAATAAATCAATGGTAACGACAACTATGAGAAGAGGAGTTAGAACCACGATGTGATGAAGGAGTGGTATGACATGCTTGGGCATCTATTCCATTGACACCTCCCGTCTGACAGCGTGACCAGCAGTAGAGAATACAGACGATATGATCTCCACCAAATCTTCCGGGATCTAAACAGCGGAGCGGAGCAGAAACCACATAAACGAGTGTGATAATCGCCTTACCACATCGACATCAAAATCATGCAAGTCTTGCTTGACCGATCCCAAATAACTCCTAGCGGCCGAGGCCAAACTAGAGACCTGTGTGTCTTCTATATTCTCCACATCCTCATTTTTCAGAATCCGCTTTTCTTCAAAGTCAGGTCCCAAGACTTTAGGCCCGTACTCGTTCACCGCTATACGTAGTTTACGAACTAGACGGTTACGGTGTTCACGAAGTGTTCGCCGACCCTAACATGTGTCACCATAGCGTGTCACCAAGAGTGGTGGAAAGAGCAACCTGTAAATATTACCTTCTTGTAAATCCTAATACGTCTTGCTATCCTCCTAATGTTCCCCACAAATGCATCAGAAGCTATAACCGCCAAGTACTGGGCCACCGGAGTGAACACGAAGTACACAAAGGGCAGGGATATAAGAGAAAAGAAGGGCACCATCTTGACCAATACGATAGAGAGTAAGAGATTGTATCTGCATCAAGGCTAACCCAAAGAGCTCCTCAAAAACCTACATCGGTACGATAACTATTGCCACCAAGATCTTATACGAGGCAACGACATCGAATGCCTTGTACTTCACCGAACCTATTCGGGTTGACACTACTTGACAACCCTGTGCAATACTTCATCACTTACTCGCAGCCAATGCACGGGACTTCTCCTTGAGTGAAAGGCTCTGGCAGATCCTCGCCACTGGAGCGAAGAGCATTAACGAAGGGATAGCGATGAACATTGATAGTAGAATCTACATCCGGGAAAACAGCAGTCCTGGACCCACTGCCTTATAAGTCTTACAATCACTATTCGCTGGAAGTACCACAGAGCCTCTGGGAAGAACCCTATACTCTGCGCTTGGATATTCTGCACATCTCTATCTCTTATATGATTGGTCTTGAGCTCCACTGAAGTGAACGATGGATGGTATCACCACAAACACCTCAAATATTACAATTATAATCCTGTATTTGTTCCATAAGCTGACGCAACTTCTCGTCCTCTTCCATATACTTGGAATTCATCACTCTCGCCATCCTCTTTGATATCTCCATTTTCTCTCCAGTAGTTATTTTCGCACTCATCGGACCTGCCAACAATAGCAACAACAATTTCGTCTACTCCCCAAGTATATTCTTGGTTTCCTCAACTGAGCTCGTAAATTTCCTCACGACATTATGGAACGATTTCGAGTAGAAGTGTACAAAACCCAACGACAATTCCTTATTTTCACCAACACATGTAGTTGACCATGTGCATATACTCCCACCAAACGCAGTTCCTACTACCCATATAGAGCTTGGTGGCGGTCTGTATCGCCTGGAGGGTATCATAACTCGCCGCTGGTATAATACAACCGAGCATAGCAGTCTCGATATCGCGCATGAGTGACCCCACCGCCTTACGCTTAGTATCGGGCTGAACGAACACATATATTCATGATGACGACGAACCTCACTTACATTAATGTACTCCCGGAACAGCTGTGAGTCCTTCTCGACAACCACAGGACGGCCAAACTCACAGATTAGAGAAGAGCGGAAACGATATGGTTCGAAGTAGTTAAGACCAATGGGGACCTGCAACGAATTCGTAGTAGGAAGGGAATACCGTCAGCGATATTACAATCGTGATTCTGTTGATCTCATGTTTCGGACTGGCTAGTGCTCCTAGAGTCATGATAGCTACACCTGGCTTCAGCTCGAGCAGTCTGCCCACATTATCGTGAGAGCCTCCTTCGGGGAAGATACCAATAGCTTTCCCTTCAGCAAGATTCTTATACACATTAGCATACCTGTTGGAGAGCATACATCTTATGACGCGTAGCCTCCTGTTACATGAGATGCTGATCCAGCTTGGGCCATATCTTGTATGTGGTAGGCTCCTTCAACTCAACCGCCTCACGTACCTCTGCTGTAGAATCTGACCGAGACGGAATTCACCATTTCAAGAATTTACATCTGCTTACCGTCAATGATGCGAACAATCGGCAGTAGAAGATTCTGTGTCTTCAGCTTGGTCCCAGGAACAAGGCCATCGAATGAGCCTCCCTCCACTTTAACAATAGTCTTCCCATTCGAATCTGAAACCAGTCGTAAAGTATATTCCACCATCGTACTTACCAGTACTAGTGGTGATCGTGCCCTTCCCTGCATACGCCAGGTCTTGGGATCTCTCCACAGGCACCTAAAATGAATTCCCATCATTCCCCGCCACCCGTAAGGGGGCGGTCATCCTACCGCTCCAAAGGACTTGGCAATGAGCCCAATGACAGGTCTTCTCATCGACTTAGCCGCTGTGATAAATCGTATCTTCCTACTGTCCACAGCTGCGAGGATGTTACCACCGTCAACGAACTGGTTAGGATGGTTAGACACGAAAATAACAGCCTCGCCCTTCGGAGGGATATGGTGGCGACCAACGTACGATATACGGGAGTAGAAGACCTTTATGATGAAGTTCTTGATGAGGAACCTCATGATGTTGTACAGGTCTAAGACGCTGCTCCAGGTGAAGGGCCTAGGACGGTGGACATCCTCTGAGCCGACCGACTGTGCGGGTCTGCTGGGAGTGGCATCTGGTGCTTTTGCTGGTGGGTTCGCTTTCTTAGGGGAATCCGATGAGGAGGACATTGAATAGGACTAAACAACTATAAGTTGCTATTACTCACAGGAACACTGTCAAGACGCTCACCAACCCGATCGCTCACAGCGTAGGAAATTTCCGTTGACATAACGGAGAGTTGGGGAAGAGACGTGTGGTTGCAGTTGATGAAGTAGTGAACGACCAATAAATTCCGGGATGAGCTTTACTATTATAATAGAAGAGACATGGCAGCCTCAGATCGCCTCATCACAGTCGACTGAAAGCGAGGCTAGTAAGAGTAGTGAGATTAGGATTTGATTGAACGATTATGCTTGTGAAATATCTCGCAATGGCGAGCGTTTTAACTCGAGTAAAATCGTCCAACTCTATCAGTCCAAATTCTTGGATATTTTCTCTAGGCGGGTTTGAATATCAGTACCTCTCTATCGTAGTGTAGTGGAGAGTCTTATCAGGTGACTGGACGGATGAGAATCGGAACGATGGAACTTCCTTTCGGAACGTGCTCGAACTCGATGGCGTGGTTCGCTCCAAGGGACGCTTCTCGTAGTGTCTGCTATTCCATATAATAGCATTACTATGTCCGACCAGGAGAAGTTATCCAACCAGGAGGAGAGTCACGTGGATGCTAAGACTATAGCTAACAGGAAAAAGAGGGAGAAAAAGAAGGCTAAGGCCGCTGCTGCCGCAACCGTACGAGTGCTTCTTACAAAGGAGAGTTAATGGTGATGCTTGTTGCAGGAGGGCGGTAAGAAAATGAGTGCTGCGGCTAAGTTGGCAGCAGCTCGTCTTGAAGCCGCTCGAGAGGCTGAAGAGGAGCGGAAACGCTTAGAGGAGGAGGCCCAGAAGAAGGCCGAGGAAGAGGGTAGTACTGTTGGGGAGTAGGAAGTTGCAATGGAGTGGTATGCCTAGAACGACTTGCTGCTGAGAAGGCTAGGAAAGCACAGGAGGAGAAGGAACGCAAGGCTGCTGAGAAAAAGGCCAGGCGGGAGAGGCTCAGGGCGGAGGGTAAATTACTGTCGAAAAGGGAGAAGGAGCAGAAGGCCAAAGCTGATGCGTACTGGACTTGGTCGCTGACCATAGGATTTTGCCCCTACAGGTACCGACAGATGCTCCTAGAAAGTGGACAGCTTCCCGCTGCTGTTACGGCCTCTGATGAGGACAGCACTACTGATAAACCGAAAAAGCAGAGTGACTTGTATGGGAAAAAGAAGAGTCATAAGCATAAGAAGCAGCCCAGTCGAGGGGAGCTTGTTGAGGAAAGTGTGGTATCTTCGACACATGATGATGACGAGGATTGGGAGAAGGCAGAGGAGGTCGCTGATAAGAAGAGCGAATCGGAAGCTGAGGTGGACCCAGGGGGGCTGATGGGGTCATGTTACGACGTGTTGGTGTAGTCGGTGGATGACTGGGAGCTGTTGGATGAAGACTCGGATGATGATAAGAAGGTGGAGGCCTATCCTACCCATGTCAAAAACAAGCCGCAGAAGAAGGAGGTGGATGTTAAGGGTAGGAGCGGGTGTATCGACTGTATGGCGGCGTGGATAGGATGTCGATTTGTTGACCATGTGTGTGGAATGTCGCGTGGGTTCGATTACTGGTTACGGCATTTGTCGCCTTGATCCAGGCAAATTCGCAGCAGCGGACCCTCTTGCCGTTTTTGACTCCTCCGCCTCTGAGTTCCGCTCCCCCATATGCTGCATTATGGGCCACGTTGATACTGGTAAAACTAAGCTGTTGGATAAAATACGGCGGACTACTGTTCAGGAGGGTAGGTGCACATCACTCGGGAGGTCTATGGGGAATAGCCATACGTGTTAGGTGAGGCCGGAGGTATTACCCAACAGATTGGCGCTACTTTCTTCCCCGAGGCTAGTTTGCAGGATGCCGTTCATAAGGTTAATCTGACGAGTCGTGGAGCTAATGTCGATCTGAAGGTAGAGGATATCTTGGTTGTTTTACCCCGTGTTAAAACGTTCTGATCGGAGCATATCTTCAGCTGCCTGGTCTGCTCATCATCGATACACCCGGTCACGAATCCTTCAACAACCTTCGTGTTCGCGGCAGTTCCTTGTGCGACATCGCCATCTTGGTCGTCGACATAATGCATGGTCTCGAGCCACAGACTATAGAGAGTCTAGAGTTACTGCGAAATAGGAAGTGCCCTTTCATAATCGCCCTTAACAAGATCGATAGGTAGGAAGGGGGCGATGCTCTCGTCGGCCACGTGTTGTTGATATACTCTATTATGAGGCGGGAAAAAATAACGCATAAAACCATTTATTGATTATTGATGTTGGAAGGTCACCTCAGTGTACATAGTGTCCAAATATGAGATGTTAATCAAACATTATGAAATGAAGTCTATATTAAAAACTAGAGGTCAACGGATATATCTTTATGAGTAGGGAATGAGATGCTTATGTTTGAACGCTCTCATCTGTTACTTCGACGATCTCAGGTTATACCAGTGGAGGTCCTCAGCGAATCGTCCATCTCGGGACAGTCTGAAGGCTCAGAAGGACTATGTTAAACATGAATTCGATGATCGGCTGAAACGTATACAACTACAGCTAGCGGAGCGAGGCCTCAATACAGCTGTGTATTGGGAGAATCATGATGTTCGCCGAGATGTGAGTATCGTGCCTACCTCAGCCGTCACAGGGGAGGGAGTACCCGATCTGCTGTACCTCATAGTCAAACTCACTCAAACTCTGATGGCTAAGAAGATTACACGGCAGCCGGACATCTTCCAATGCACTGTGTTGGAGGTGAAGAATATAGAGGGCTTGGGTACTACTATTGACGTTATCTTGGTTAACGGCCGGATCAAGGAAACTGACCAGATCTGCGTATGCACTCTAGCCGGGCCCGTTGTTACTACTATAAGGGCTCTGCTTACGCCTCCACCAGCTAAGGAAATTCGAGTGAAGTCGGAATATGTCCATCATAAAGTCATCAATGGTAGGTGGTCGGGCGGAGCTCGGCTGTTGGGGGCATCTTCGTGCCGTTGTTAGGTTCCATGGGGGTGAAGATATGTGCTCCTGGTCTCGAGGAGGCCGTTGCTGGGACGCAGCTGATCGTGATGCGGCCTGGTGATGATCCGGACGAGGTCAAGAGGAGGGCTATGGCTGACTACAAGGCTGTAGTGAATGAATTCAAGAAGGCCCCTGAGGGCGTGTATGTGAAGGCCTCTACCTTGGGCTCCCTAGAGGCCCTTTTGGAGTTCCTCAAGACCAGCGCTATTCCAGTTAACCAAGTGGGAATCGGTGAGGTTCATCTTATGGACGTCCGTAAGGCCTCGATTATGCTTGAAAAAAAGAAGGAATTTGCGGTGATACTGGCCTTTGATGTGAAGGTGTCACCAGAGGCACGTGATGAGGCTGAGAAATTAGGAGTGAAAATAATGACGGCTGAAATTATATACCATCTTTTCGACCAATTCACCGCGTACATGGAACAGATCAAGGAGGAGAAGCGGCAACAGGTCCAGGAAGACGCGGTTTTCCCAGTGGTAGGAAATTATTCATACCATCTTTCCGCCACATCGTATTTGCTCAGGTCCTCAACATCATACCTCAATACGTCTTCAACAAGAAGGATCCTATCGTCGTTGGGGTGGATGTTTCGGAGGGCACCCTCCGACTGAACACCCCTCTGTGCGTGCCCGACAAGGACTTCCTGGAGGTCGGTCGTGTAGCCAGCATTGAAAAGGACCATCGGCCAGTCGAGAAGGCCATCAAGGGCGACAGTGTGGCCATCAAGATTCAGCCCACCTCAGCCCAGGCCTACGTCACATACGGTCGCCACTTCGACTCGAGCAATGCTATCATGTCCCGTATCAACCGCAGGACCATCGACTGCTTGAAAGAGAACTTCAGGGAGGACATGCGGAAGGAAGACTGGCAGCTCGTTATGAGGATGAAGCCGATTTTTGGTATACAATAATAATACCACCACGTTACTGTTTCGGAGGACTTAGTCCTTGTTGTTGAGGGAGGCCGGGGGGTTGCTAGTGTTTGTAGTAGAGGTAAAATGGGGATCCAAAAACGTCGTAAGAAGAATGCTAATAACACCAGGGGAGGTATAGTGAAGGCTAAGAGGCACACGAGGGATGTCGATCAGGTTACCGCCACTTGCTGCTTTGCTATTTTACGCTTTTTCCATCAGATTCACGACGACTTGAAGGCCCCAGAGAAGTTCTCTACCATGCCAGTTGATGAGGACCTCCCCGGCCGAGGACAGCACTACTGTGTGTCTTGTGCTAAGTGAGCCTATCGTAGTGTTTGGGCTTGCATCTCCCCTGAGGTACTTCATCAACGACATCGCCTTGGTGGCCCACTTCAAGACACCCAAGCATCGACGGAGATTAAAGCAGGCCCTGGATGGTACTACCAGACCCTTGGGGCTTTGGGATTGCCCCTCTTCCTCAGAGCCTCACACGCAGGAAGTCGCTGAAGCAGCGGTCGGATACGGCCGGGTCTGATGTGTATTATACGTCAACGTTCCTCGTCTGTGGACTTGTTGAGTTATGTCAAATTAGCAGGGGCGACGAATGCTGGACAGATGAATTCTCGAGGGCTCAACTTTCGTGAGCTGCGGTTAACTGGGGACACCACCAGAGGGTGGCCGTCGGCCCCTACCCCTGTTGTGAAGGATCCCTACAGGGCCGGGCTCCGTCCCTCGCTGAACGCTGGCGTGCGTAGTGGCATCTGTAGACATAGTGAGGGAGGAGGCCCCCCAAGGGGGAGGACTTGGATGGCCGCAGTGAGTACCCGTGTTGGATTAGATGTTTGCTTGCCCCTGCTGAGCTCAGCAGTTTCCCCACTATAGAATTCGGGTAGACATGAACATAAACCAATGAGAAATTTCCCAAAATTTCCTCAAAATTTTCGTGTTGTCACCAACAAATGTAGTTAAACATGTGCATATTCTCTCCCACACTGGCGAGTTCTCGGTTGGGTCGGTCTGGGAGGCCTTCGATCAGGCGGACGTATCCCGGAGGGCCTTGAGTCCGATGGTGGTCTCCTCTGTTGGTCATAGGAGTCGTAGGAGGCCTTCTGAAAATCCTAGTATAGGGCCACCAGGTTACACTATAGTGGAGGAGTTGGGCCGGTAAGCAGGGCCGTCCCTTAGGGGCCTCCTTATCGTTCTTCGTTCAGAGGAGGGTGTGCTACTGTCTTCCGAGGAGTGTGTCGGGCCTCTGGTGCGGCAGTAGCGGTGAAGCGTGTAGAAAAAGAGGGGCCTGCCTATGCTGTTACTGATCGTCTGGAGGGCTCCAAGGCCCAAGGGGACTACGAATCGGCTTTGAGGGAAATCGCTGTACTGAGGGCTCTGGGGAAGGCACCAAGACGTGTGTGTGCCTTGAGGGAAGTGGCAGAAAGGAAGAGGGTCATCTGGCTGGTCCTCGACTTGGCCCCTGGGGTCCCGATCGGCCGAGCCTTCATGAGCCTGCATGGAGAGTTTATAGGGGGAAAACGCATCTACTCCGTGAGGCCCACGAGGGTCTTCCAGCGACTCGCGGCGAACAAGGACGACTTCGGCTGCATTTTCATTCAGAAAGTCCTCAGGCAAATTCTACGTAGAATAGGAGCAGCACATACCACTCCAACGACATCTTCCTCCCCTCAGAGGGCCTCCTTGAGCTCACCGCGTGCGGGTACATACACGGGGACATCAAGCCGGACAATGTCATGCTGGAGGTCTCGCCGACTGGTCCTAGAGTGACGCTCATCGACCTCGGCTCAGCGGTGAGGCCAGGCCTCGAGGATTCCCTGTTGGAGGCGCCGGCTGCTACTCTAGAGTCCGTGAGATGCCTTTGTACTGCCCCTTCCCTCCACACAGCTGTAGGTATATGCCTCCTGAGGCCCTAGATAGGAGTAGGGGGGCCTCCATGGTTGATGCTTGGAAGCTGGATATGTGGGCCCTGGGCGCTATGGTGTTGGAGTGGATCACAATGGCCCCGCTATGGCTGTACGGCAGGGACGCCCGACCCGAGTCGACCTCATGACCCTGGCCTAGGTCCTACCATTGTCGAGCTTATCTTCAACCTGGGGAGGGCCTACGAGGGTCTAGGGTCGCAGAGGAAGCCTATGTGACATACCCTCAAGGAGGCCTGTTCGCTGTGCCGGGCAAGGACCCATTGAAGATAGCACGACGGCAGAGGGAAGTGGTAGTGAGGTCCCCTCGAGCCACGTTGTAAGGCTGCGTGCTCAGGTTACGGATCTACATCGTATAATCAATGACCCAAGGCACCCAGGACTGCCCCTCGGAAGTTGGCGGTAGTATGTTGGTGGTCTCCTTCTCATCGTCGTCGTACCCTTGGTGCCCCTCAGGCATGGTCCTGCCTTCCTAACGTCCCTATTGGCACTATCCACGGCGGAGCGTCTATCGGCTCGGACAGCTGCTGCCCATCCATTCCTTGCTGACCCCTCCCAACATGGACCATGAAATTTCCAGTAACAATCAAAGGTGTCGTCGTGTTGCCCTTCAGCGGGCAGGACCTGCCTGCTAGGCAGTGCCTAGGTTTGTCTCTGCCCGTTATGAATGGTTACTCGTCGGTCTCGAGCCCTCGACGGCCACGTCCAAAGCTAGCGGCTCGGTAAGTGCACTTTGGTGTTCAAGGGGTAGCCCGGAGGTCGGCTAGACAGGGGCCACCAAGGGGTCACCACTGCCAGTTTCAGTGCCGTTTTGAGTGTCTCTGAATGTCGTGAAGCTGTGGGGAAGGTACGAGGCACCGCTGAAGATGCTCCACGGCTCTTGTCGATGACAGTTGAGCATGATTGGGGCAGTGGCGAGGGTGTCGGTGATGTCCTGTTATGCAGAAGGTTGGAAGTGTCCTAGGGTATTCAACATATGGCTTGTTCTTAATGCCATAGTCTACGGCTCAGGATCTGTGCTCCGACTGCCAGGAGCCCATAACCACCGGAGTCGTCGGGTTATGTTTTGAGGCTCGCCTTGCATCATGGTCACTCATCTTCTCTACTCGTGTTCACTCACAATTTCCATTAGTCGCGTTGAGTGGAAAAATGCATTCTGCCGGGATCGAACCCGCGGCCTCAGTAATCCAGTGATGAGCGCATCACCAGTATGGAGTGAGATGCGGCAATTAAGAGTGATGGTGGGCCTGCGGCAGGTCCGTCCCCTCCTCCCCCCTCGGTCCCCTCTAAGTACTGCTGCCCTCAGGTTCTCATGCGGAAGTTCAACCAACCAGCAGCCCTCATGGAACGCCGAGTCATCAGTAGCGATGCTTTCGGCGTCAACGTCCTCAGGCCCTGGGCTCGATGGTACATTTCCGGACCTACTTCGTATCTTCCTGTCTACAACCTCAGGTGCGTCGAGAATAAGCGAGTTTTCACCGGCTCTGACGTGGCTACACTGGTTGATGCCGTGCCACTGAAATTGCCCAAATCGATTCCGCTGACCAAAACGGTCAACCAAGCCTTACGAACAGTTCACCCTGTTACGGTAGAGGACATACAGTGGATGCTCGATCTCATCAAAAGGACAACTACACTGGACGAGAACACCAACTATGCACAGTAAAAAATTGAGGAAATGCAAGTGTGTGCAAGATTAGCAAGATTTGTCTGTGTAGATTCCCGAAGATATTGGCCCGCACTGGTCCACGGTATCCTTTCTCGCCCTACAACTACGAACGGCTGGTCGATATGTGTGGTGACCTCTGGGGTTCGGAGCTCACTGAGCAAGGGCCTCTGCCTGAGTCCAGCGAAGGGGAGAAGCCTAGTGAGGAGCAGCTGAGGAGAATGGATCTCGACGTAGGTTCTTGCTGCTTACTCCTGATGACCGAGGGTTGATTTTTAGGAATATTCCTGGCGTGTTGAGGATGACCAGGATAAGCAGGATTGGGACTGGCTTAGACTTCGTAACGAGAGCTTTTGAGGTTACAGCAGTATTTCATGTTTCTGTGGACCCTCATGCCCGTTGTTCTGAAGTTAATTTCGTGGCGCGTGACGTATTCGACGTAAATACTTTGCTGAGTTTAAATCGAAAAGCCCTTCTACTATCTCTCCTCTAGCGAACCAATACCTAAGATGCTGATATGAATTTCGTCCTACGTGTTCCGAGCAGCGAAAAATCAGAGAACAGGTCAAGGCTGAGTTCACGCCATTGTGACGTAGAACAATGACACATAGCTCGCATAACCCACGGCCTTTCAGCGCGAATGCTGAAGATTACCCCATGAGCTCCTGGCAATGAACCCAACCCAACCTCATCAAGTGAAAACAAATGGTAGCAACTTTACTGGCAGCGACTTTCCACTGTATGATGATTTTGCTCGCGACTGGACCGTCGTGAAAGTCTTGAGTTCTGCTGCATCAGCATAGAACATCCATCGCCGAGGTCCAATCGGACATTCACAGCAGCTGAGTCCAATCCCTTCACTCCAACTAACCTCTCCCTAACATCATCAGCAGCCTCTCGAGCATCTGCCAAGCCGTTGAGATGCCGAGTGGTTGAGGTCGTAGTAGACTGCAAGCCTATAGAGATGTCCGCTCGGGCGGAAACGTCGGAGTCTCCAGTATTCGAAAAATGTACAATAACTTCCCTCACGGGGAGGTACCCTGCCAGTCTGGATCGAACTTCCTTTTCAATCCTGGACGCTGACAGACTCCTGGACTCGGCCTCTTGCTCCGACCCCACCTCCTCACGTGAGATCTCCTCCGTTGTAGCTGGGGCCAGATTTACCATCATTTCTGCAATTCGAGGGTCAGCCTGAATGACCGCCTTCCGTAGGGTAAGGGCCGCCTGATAAGCTGCCGAGACGGTCATAGACTCGGGGACCAGCATCTGGAGGTCCACCATCATATAAGGGCCGGCTCTCCTGGCACGGAGGTGGCGTATGTCAATGATGTCCGGGGAGGACGACAGGGCGACTTTTCGAACGTCATTAAGGATGCCCTCATGGGCCACACGTCTGTCGAGAAGCTCCACCACAGCATCCCAGGTTAGAGAGACCCCTACCTTACCGACCATGGCAGCCACGACCAGGCCGGCCATGGGGTCAGCGAGGCTCGTCAGGCTCGACAGCGAGATGCCCACAAGGGCTACGATCGAGGAGAGGGCATCCGAGCGGTGATGGTAGGCATTGGCGACCACCACTGAGGAGTTGGCCTCCTTCCCTACATTGGCGGTCCATCGAAAGAGGCCTTCCTTTATCACTATAGAAGATATAACAGCTGATAAAGCCAGAGGGTAGTTACTGATCTCGCCCAACTGAGCGGCCTCAGCAGCGCCATGCTCAGCGGCAGCAGAGAGTGCAGCCCCAAGAGTACCGCCAACTTCACCGAGGTGTGGTACGCCAATGGCCATGATGAGCTCCATAGCATGCATGCCTATTCCAGCTGCTGCCAGGCAGACCATCCCTCCTACTACGAGGGAACCCAACGCCTCGAACCTACCATACCCATATGGGTAGTCCTTGTCCGGTGGACGACGAGACAATTTCACAGCACCAAGAGTGACGAAGTCGCTGAGGAGATCCGAAATGGAATGGAACGCATCGGCCACTAGCGAGGCGCTACCACTACTGATGCCGGCCCCCAATTTGAAAGTACTAAGCCAACGTTGCTCGCCAGGCCGACCCAGGTGACTCTGGAGCACGCCCTCTCAGCTTTGGCATCCTCCTTACTCATGGGCCCCCCATTTAGGGGAGTGACGAAGGCTTGGGTATTATGAAAGCGGACCAGTGTTTTCATACTACCACACCGTGTTGAAGATCCGACGCACCGCACGAACGGCTGAAGACTAAAGCCGTCCAACGCCGGTCGTAGTAGCGGAAACGCAGCAAACATTAGGAAATGAATTCTGTGGCAATACAAATACGACCGAATTTCGGGATAGGCTCATCGACACGGGACGGGCAAATTTCGAAATTTTATATTCATCACTACGGCGTGTTGCGTGCTCCCTCCAGAAACTCGTCCATAGAGCATTGATTTAGTTTCTAGATGAACAAAAGTCGCTGATATTGAAATTGATAAACACGAAAACATGATCAGATGTCACGACCTGACTTCATAGAAATCAGGCCTTGCTAGAATCGATAACATCGATCATGCCGGTTCCAAAGGACGACTAATCTGGCTACCCTCCCGATGTGGCTACAGCTCTTCTCCGAGACCCGCCTGTTATTTTACTACTATCGGTCTTCATCGACATTGGCTGCAGTTGCTTCCTCTGACCATAGCCCATATATCCCACGAAGTGCTCGAGGAGTGGTACGGAGTACATTAATGCGACTTGTAGACTCTAGCCCTCCAATAGAACAACGAACATCGCGACTTGAATATTCTAATACCTTTACCCAACCTCTGAGCCCCTCCCCACAAGGAAGGCTTCAGGCAAACCATTGGAAGGCCAAACTAGACGACAGTATGAAAGCCACAGAAGAAGGCTTTGATATCCCTGCGCAGCGCCGACGAGGACAGGTCCTGGTCGGGCGGAACGGTAGTCGAAGTAACCGAGAGAGGCCAGAAGGTCGCAGCGGAGCAACACAACGTAGATCTAGGGGGGAAGCTACACGTACCTGTGGCCGTCACACTGGGGTGATGATGGTGACAGCCACAACATCACCTTCCTGATATACCCACACTCTACCACACACGGCCGAATGCCTATTAGCCTATCCCCTTCAGGTCTCGCTCGAAGAGTGCCCTGCGCTTGTCTAGGGAGGAGGGGCTGCAAGCATAGACCCCATAGGCTCCCCCGAGAGTAAAGCAGAAGGCCCTCTTCCTCCCATAGGACCTCTCCAGTGTTGCTGTAATGCTAGACCAAACGCGAATGTGGCCCTTCCCCAACTCAACACCATCAGGAAGTAGCAGTAAACTTGGTACGTTTGTGGACCAGCCAACTCCTCCTACGCGAACTTCACGCGCTTCGTAGATTTCTTCTTCTCTTTCTTCGGCTCCTCCAGGGCCGGCGACTCTTCCTCGTTACTATCGACCTTACCCCGACGTTTGCGTCGGTGATGCCCGCCAGCCTTCCCCCCATCAACCTTATCGGCAACAGAGTCGGCCGTGAGCATCTCCGTACAGGCCGAGGTGATACGACAGCCGCTATCAACACTAGCAACACCAGCGAGCTCACCAGCAGCCAGCTGCCATAATATAAACCGACCATCGGAGCACACTGTGACGACCAGAGTGAGATCCTCCTCATCCACGGCAACCATCACCCCTTTTACACGACTACCGTGTGCAAAGCTGGACTCCTCCTCCTCGTCATCATCGTCTCCATCAGCAGGATCAACCGTACTTTCCTCTACTAGGTCCCCATTGGAGGCGACTCTGAGGACGACCAGACACCCGTTGGCCTTTCCCACGATGAGGCGACCGTCGACGAAACACATGCTCGAGAGCAAAGCGTCGCTTTCGTATGGCGCAGGAAGGGAGGAGCCCTCCCCACCTGGGTGGTCGGAAACGGACAAGACTTGAATCTTTCTGTTCATCATGATAGCGTATCCTTCCTTGCCCTCTCCCAGAGTGACCCACTTCACGTCTCGAATAGCCTCCGTGAATTTACTAACAGCAGCACAGGTGCCCCTAGTGAGGTCCCACATTCTGAGCTCGCCAGCTCCAGCAGAGAGGGCCAAGCGCCCACTAGGGTGGATGGCGATCGCCTCGACCCCTCCCTCCGAGTGAGCTCGGAAGGACTTCAGTACTCGACAGTCCGATAGACGTGTGAGAGATATTTTACCGTCGGCTCCGCCAGATAGGATGCATTGACCGCTGAAAAGGAAACGAGGATGGCTTCGACCCGATCCGGATACGAAGTGGCCGAGGTGTGGTATGACCCCCAATGCTATAAGCCTACCTAGGAGTAGCAGCGAGAGCGGTAACGCTACTCTCGTGGACATCTAAGGAGCCCTTAGCCTGGCGTTTGGTGGTGTCGTATAAACGTATAGCCTCATCAGTGCCACCAGTGGCCAGCAGTCCTCCCTTACCCGCACAGCATACCTTGACCGCACCCAAGTGGGAAGCGAAACCGAAGACCTTCACAAAGAAGAAGCTACTGCGGCCATCACGTGGCCAGTACTGCTACTACCTGCTTCAGCTCGTAGCCTTCCTCGCCGTCCACCTCCATCTTACGCACGTCCACGCCAAGTAAGGCACCATCGTAGGTGCCTGCACTGACTAGGGCCACCGTCCTTCCCTCGAGTGGTAGCGGCTCTGTTGCCATATTATGAATGATAACGCTGAGGAGATGTTATTCTTGGGAAAGGAAATCAATTCGGAGTGTGACGGCTGTGCATGGCAAAAAGTGGGGACACTCCACCGAGTATCACCGAATAGAAAGTGGGGACACTTCATTGAGTGTCACCGACCAAAGAGTGAGACTTGCGTAAATAGCAAGATAGCAAGACTGAAGACTGCGCGCCTACCAAAAGAGACATTTCCCACATTCAACAGCACGCGAGCGTCAATGGCGTCAATTCCTTAACGTCAGCTTGGGGTGTCTAGAGGTAACCATATGGGGATGGAGTCTTTTGTCTCTTCACCAGTGCTGTCTTTTAATGGTCCACGTCGTCAGTCCAACTCGGGAAGGATCACCTTGCAGGTAGTAGTGTTTCTACCATGGATGCCTTGGGGGGAAGTTGCCTCAGTAGGCACTGTCAGCCTAGGAAGACTAGGAGGGGTGGACGTCGAGCTGAAGGGGTGTGTCCAGATGGTCCGTAGTAGTCCTAATGTGTCCTTCCATAGGTGGCTAGTCGAAGTGGTCGTCACGTTGGTGGCAGTGGAGAGCATCAGTAAGCTCCTCGTTGTTGATATGTGTAGTGTCTTTGACCGACGCAGGAGAGGGTCGCCTTCGTCCATCTCGACAGCTTCCTCCAGGTGCGGTAGAGCGAGGTCGCAGGGCATGGATGCAGCCACCATTCGGAAGAATCTTCTTACGTGAGTTTAACCCGAGGCGACCTTGGTGGTGGGCATTGATAGTATTTTCACAGGTCTATGTACATGGTCGATTTCGAGGATTGGATGGCCGTCCGCCGCACAGGGAAGAATTCCCAAGTAGACGTATGAAAGAGGTCACGACTTTTCTATTGAGTGTCTAGGGTCGACCTGTGCCTGGTGCCCAAGTTGTGAAGATTCCTATGAGTTTTGACAGGAGTGGTAGCAAAGTGCCCTTCCTCGACTCATCTGCTACTCCTAAGAGCATCTACCGGGTACTCTGAAGGGCCACTCTTATCATCATCACTGTTGTGTGTATAGGAGACCATCGGTGGTTGGTACGGTAGCGCTGACGGAGATCCCTTTGCTAAGAGCAGACTAAAGGATCCTAATGCACCCCGTCCCATGGCGAGCACTGCGGGTATGTTGTTGGAAATTATTTCAAGTCGGGGAGAATCTCTTTAGGTTGCCCGTTCGCCACTGTGAAGGCTCGAAACGGCCTGCCTAGATGCGATTTCCATGGAGGAATTACTTCTTATCGAGAGTAGAGAGGGACATGGTTTCGGTATGAGTTCGCGGAGTATATGGTGTTGTAGGTATATGGACGTGACGTATGAGGAGAATGTGAGGTCGATCAAGGACAATATAAGGGGAAAGAGTCTTCGTCTCAGTCCAACTGGTGTAAATGAGGATACGTTCCTGACAGTAAGCGGAAGGTCGCAGGTTCGATCCCCGCAGGGGGTATTTTTCTTCGCAGGTGCAAGGTGGTGTACCTTGCCAAACACGGTTGAGATATAACGAACGCTTGAAAAACGCTAAGTATTCGAAATAAATATATTACTAAAACCATGTTGTTGTGTGTTCGCTCTCACTTGATGTCTGTGACACTCGTCTTGGGTTTCAGCTCATCAGTCGGTGGGTATTGCAGTGACGTGGGAAAATATGCACATGGTGAACTACATGTGTTGGTGGCAATAGGGAAACTTCTGTGTAGCGTTAATGTTCAGTGAGGAAACTGCTGGAGTCAGCTGGTGACAACGAGTATATATTCCAACACTGATTTTGTATATCGATAACTGCTGTAGTCCACTTAGACTCTTCGTGGTCAGAGGAATAACTGTGAAAGAACCTCACGTTAAATCCTGTATGATTCCTCAATCAAACTTCGTACGGTTTGGGAGGTTCCCTCCAGTAGTGGAATCTATTTTGTACACAGTTCTGGGGGAAGAGCAATGACCGTTGTTTATGCAGAGTAGGAAAGCGATGATCCACGCCATGCTCGAACCGTTCTCTCGGTACCAGAAGTGACCCCTGAGGATCTGAGTCCTCATGAACAGCTCGACGAGCTCGACGGTGGAATCTCTGCTGTTGTCGAGAAGTTGTGGCACTCGCACAGAAGAATTCTCTATGGGAATATCAGGTGAGTAGCAGAGATGGTATACGTTATATGTACATGGTATTTGTCAGGGCTACGTCCACTCTCCTGGGTTAACTCGAGATCATTAATCGTAGGGAAATGACAATTACTTGAGACTTAGCTTTTCTAACAAATGATTACCTATTACTAATGGGTGTCGATATGGAATTATCCGAAATTGCTAATAGCAATACTAGCCTAGCACAGCTTGAATGATACTCAGCTTGAGGAACAGACCCGACACAATTGTCACAACAGTATTTATACGAACTATATGGGAAAGGTTTTATAACTTCTATGAATTCTACCAATGGTTCATGCTACTACTACTACTGATGATGATATTATCATCGGAAACATATGCGCATTGTCAAGCACATATGTTGGTTTCAAGAGGAAATTCTGAGGAAATTTTCGGGAAATATTCAACTTCTTTTTCTACTTGTATATGTGTGAGGAAACTCCTAAGCGCAGCTAAGGTTGAAACTAAACGCATATATTCCCCCACTAGGGTTGGGGGGTCGTTGGGCATTGAGGTAACCTAACAAAGCTGAGCCAAGATGGCTACGGTGTACGAATCTCAGTGCAAAATACTGATCACGAGGATGAATGCTCAGTTGAAAGTGTGTACGCATAAACAGTGACGCTGGATAGGGGGGGATACTACACTCTCTCTTCCACTGGAGAGGAGTGCCGAATTCATCACTGGTCGCTGCTGAGCCCCAATGTATGACGAGCAGTTTAACGCTGGGTTGGTGAACGTCACGATGAGCACAATATGAAACTCGAATATCAGAGATCAACTGTACGCTTACAGTTACCGTTTCTGCATTTCTGCTTCCCCGTATTCTCCTACAGTCCACTTCTGTCTGCCATGGTTTATGTGAATGTCTCTTACTAGTTATCTTTTGTTGTGTTCCTATAGACCCCGAAACCGGTAATTACGACAAACCATCTCACGAAAAACACATGTCGACATAATACCTTATTCAGAAGCCATCGTTAGGGCTATTTAGTGACGGGCAGGAAGTCTCAACTAATCGACTTTAGTTTGTTCATGCCTCCACTGACAGAAGCCTTAGCAGCATCGAACTTTTGTAAAGGGGCCATCGATCAGTCCACTGAATCTCTGCAGAGGATGCGTAGAGTAATGAAGTATTGAAAACGCATCTTAACTTCACTCTGGCGTGGTGTAGGTGATGGATGCTGTGGGGAAGCCCTTGGAAACTCTAGCCGCGTCGGGCTCGAAATTTGTTCATGTCACGGGTGAGTGTGTTTTAGATCTCGAGGCCAACGATTCAGCTCAATTGACGCACACAGTTGAGCCAAGAAGTGTTGGATATGAACATCACACTTAGGCACCAATGGGAAGGGCACGGTGTGCTCGGGGTTAGCGGCGAGACTGCAGTCGTGCCGTGTTGGGGTGTTCACAAGTCCATGCCAGCGATGGCCCAATGATCAAATATCGATAAGTGGCGACATCATGCCGGCTCTGGAGTGATACCACTGAGGTTGTCACTGCTGACATAGTGTACTTAGATATGAACAGCAATTGAAGTTTATAATGAGAGAGGCGCAGAAGAAGGGGGAAGTCGGGTTGACGAACTTCGAGGCGACCACCATAGCTGCATTTTCTTGGTTCGCGAGGATGAAGTGAGCTGAGGTATTCTCAGTCGTTGTCTATTGAAGGCCTCAGGCCTCTGGATTTCATCATCATCGAAGTCGGCATGGGAGGTCGAGATGATGCTACAAACGTAAGCCTACGATCACTATGGGGGAGGGGAATATGCACATGGTCAACTACATGGAAATTGGTGTGAAATTTTCATTGGTTTCAGTGCACTTCTACTCGAAATTTTATGTTAACTCTTGCACTAAGCTGAGGAAAGCAAAGATATATTTCAACACTGTCACCAAATCCAGGTCCTTCCCAAAACCGATGTAGCCGTCTTGACAGGAGTTGCTCTCGACCATGTGAAGTTCTTGGGGCCCACACTGGAGGACGTAGGAGAGGCGCTGCCGTTGTTAGGGTAGAGGTAGATTTACAGATATGTTCGGCGAAGTGTGGTATCATAAATCCTCACACAACGACAGCTGTAGCTTCTGGTGCTTATCTCAATGCGTCATGCCTCAACATCGTGAAGGAAAGATGTGCCTCGACCGGCACGGCCCTGCGTGTGGTGACAGGCTGTGGTGACAGTGACAATTACAAAGCTCACTATACGGCTCTCGAAGATGAGGTCCTCAGTGCTCTCGGTGTCACTCACCAGCAGAATCACTCAGGTAAAAGGAGTTATTGAGATTTACACTCCCCCTGTGGCCCTCAGGCGATACAGGGACATACCTTCATACCTTGAGAGGACGGCAAGAGCTCACCCATCACCCACTCGACCCGACTATTCCTATCATACTCGATGGCGCCCACAATGAGGAAGGCCTCAGGTCTCTGACACACTTCATACAGCGGACGCTAGAGCAACGAAGGGATATCACTGAGGTAGTGGCTCAACGCACCGTACAGTGAGAGTTCCGGAATCTCGAGTTCATCAGTTTTACCCATCTGTTGATGCACTGTATTGAACTGCACAGTAGAAGTATCAGATACGCTTCATCGTGGCCCTATCGGGTGGTAGGAGTCCCCATGAGCTCTTCCCTCTGTTTTTGAAGCCGTTCTCGGTGCCCATCGCCACCGTCTACCCCACCACATTCAGAGACGTTCCTGAGATGCCCTGGGTAAATTGAGATTCATCTCGGCGTACAAACTTGTGATCAGGTTAAAGCTGTTGACCCAGAGGAAGCCGTCACTGCGGCACGACAGTACGACATGGTATTAAGCAGTGTTGTTAACCTCTACTCTCAGGTGTGTGCCACCATCAACAGAAGTCAAACCCGTTGCCGACCTACGAACAGCTCTCGAGCTATGCTGCTGCGTCAGGAGTGAGGACCCAACAATTACTATCACTCTACATCATGCTTCGTATGCAGGTGACCACTCGCCTCTTGTGGTCGTGTGCGGTTCGCTTTACTTAGTGCGAGAATATCTGTTGCTACTCGATGAGGCATTCATCAAAGATTGATTTCCATCACTGTATTATGTTGTGTACAACACGTATCGCCTTTCACATGATATCTATTTTGTTCATCAACTGTTACGCTCCGCTAAATTACAAGGCCCTATTTTAGCATCACCAGATCTAACCAAAAACACTCTCCTAGATGAAAAATGTTTGCACAGCAGTACGGGTCAGTAGTTACTTCATTCAAGCCCCTCAGCAGCCTCCGTTACTTCAGGACTGACAACAGGAAAATACGCATATGGTCAGCTATATGTGTAGGTCACATCTGTGGAAGTTCTGAGGAAAATTGAGGAGGAAAGTCTCAACGGTTCCTGTACACTTCTACCCGAATTTGTATTTAAACTTCTAAGCTCAGCTGAGAAAAGCGAATATTTATTCCAGCACTGAGGAAAAGTATCAATTCCCCATTACAACAGTGTATCACCTCGCAGATTTATTCGCCCGAGGCGACTCTGCTTCTGTCGAACTAGTAGATGAACATGTTGCATTGTACAGTACTCTCTGGTCACTCTCCTCTCCTGCTGAGATCATGTCACGCTCCGTCTGAGGAAAAGAGCATGTAAACATAGCAGACACTGCACTCCCCTTACCGGGCCGAGCTTGGTGGTTGCCAACTGCCAGGCCGAATTGTATACATCTGCGGCCTTGGTTGCTGACACTAAAAACTGGCACAC